AAATGTAGAGGCTTGTACTGTGGCCCCAAAAATATTTCCAGATGATCCCTAAATTGTAGTTACTTTTGCCATTACAGCAAATAAGATGGCTGTGTTGAGTGATGGCTGGTGGGCAGAGGACACAGGACTGCATTGGGTCAACTCTGGTGAAAACTACTTAAGAAGTGCAAGGAATCTTGCAAAGATTTCTTTCTTCCTTGCAATGACGTGAGTCATCAGCCTGTGTCCAGCATCACTATATTGTGTTTGAGGAGGGGATGAGGTGCCTGTAACCAATGGGAAATTTGAGGAAATTTGGCACGGCCTGGTTACATACATTGCAACAGTGATCCAATTTAATTTCTGTTTGCCTCTGTACAACCAGAGGTTTCAGAAAATGCTACAAACCATGGCAAAGCTGAAGAGACATCTCCTGCTTTGGTTGGTGAAGTTCTGGGAGCAGATGCCAATACCAGTAGCAAAGGAGCAGAGGCAGCTCCCAGGAGGGTGAATGCAGGAGAGCTGTATGCACAGAAAGGCCTCGAGGGGACTTGTTTGAGTATCCCCTTGTGTCAGACAAGCAGCAGGGAAACAGCACAGATATTCTTAAAAACATGGCTAGTTCACGTTTGCACTTTCTGAGAGCCTGGGGCCCAAAGTCTCCTGTTAATAGGGCAAATCCTAACTCCTTGGTGAACAGGCTGTAGAAGTGTTTGCAAACAGACATGGCAACCTACCTGTTAGCAGCTCCCTGTTTAAGTTTGCTCTGTCCACAGAGAGAATATACTGCAAAACAAACAAACGTAGGGTTCAGGAGGCATTGCTGAAGGATGCTCTGCATGGGCAGATGAGAAATGTCACCCTCTTCAAACAGCCCCACCAAAACCAGGACATCAGGCAACCCCCTTCCCGCTCACAGCTTTCTTTCTAAAAGCATGAACCCCAGTCTGTTCATCACACAGAGCTACAAATGCCATCAAAAACTGCTCTACAAAGCATCTCTAGGTCATCAGCATGAGACCGGTACCTGGTTCTTCTTCCCATAGGGGATAGAGTACTTCTTCCCTGAAGGTGTATGTATCCTCCTTGCCCGCATGGGAATGCCTTTGGACACAATCTGAAATGGAAAGGAACACAACACAGCCTCCTGGTCAAAACCAAGTTGCAAAACAGGGAAGACAGGAGCTACCACATGCCACCTACCCCTACACACCAGCAGAATGGGATGCTCTCTGCTTGTACATTTTCCTGTGGCTGTTGAAGTTACTGGGGAAAATTTTACAGGACTCTCAATACCAAGTCACTATGTTTCACTGCAATTACTCACAAGCTCATTCTCATAAAAATCAATGGCAAATTATTTTTACATAGAAGGGACATGAAAAGTCTCAGGTTGCTCGACAGGGCAGGGGATGACAGCCAAATGACATCCTAGTGCTGGGATGCGAGCTGTCAAAGCCTGGCTTCCTCTGCAGGGAGCGAGAGGTCAGGAGATCCCACCGCTGCCTACAGCTGGATGTTAAACGGTAGCAAGTCCCCTGCAGAGGAGTGTGGGGCTCCAAGCCAAATGTGCTGTGCAGAAGCCTATGTGCATGGATTTCAGGGGTCAGTCCAAAGCTCAAGGTTTTGTGGGAAAATACAAATCTGGGCATGTCAGTGGGGAAACCAAACCCCCTTATCTCATCCTGCTGGTACTCCAGCTCTTTTGGGAGTCTACCTAGTACTGTTCTGTTTACCCTCACCCTCCAGGAGGGAGAGGAGCAGAGCAGGGACTTAAATACTGGGAGGTGTTGTCTGAATGTTGGTCTTCTAGGGAAGCATCCTCTGTCACCGAGCAGAGCCCAGCTGCCTGGGGCTGAGTGCTGACCCCAGGCTGGAGGAGATCACTGTTGGCAGCTGTGCCATGAAGCAGCGGAGAGCTTGTCTGTGGGCATCCAATAGGAGAGGTCTACTTCTTCCCTCATGAAAGCAGTGCTACCTCTGCAGTGGCCCCTGGATGCTTGGGGAGCAGAAGAGTGCACATTCATCACCAGCTGAAGTCAACAGCATTTTAATCCACAGTGTTTTAGAGACCCCACTACTGACAGAAGCTGCCAGGGTACCTGCTCTTCCATCCCCACAGCTCGGAGGGCTTGGCGTCCTCTGTGGGACAGGGCCAAGTTAATGCTTCTGCCGCGGGTAAAGCTGGCCACCCGGATGTCTGCATGGAAAGAGCAGCTGGTTATGAAGATACAGATAACACATACCTACGAGAGAGGTGGCATCTGCCGAAATCCCTGCAGCAACAGCAGGCAGGGCAGTGGGGAGTCCCTGTTCCCCCACTCCGCCTGCAGAGAGGGCAGGTATCAGAGGGTGCATTCAACTGTTGGGAAGGCAGCTGGACAGCTTCAAGGGTCACTTTCTCCATGCCACCTCTAGCCTGCAAGAAGCAGCTGCAGTCAAGTGCTGCAGCAGGAGCAGCGGATCCTGACAGGTCCCTGCAGTGCCAGAGGCCATGCTAGCCCTAAGAGCTGTTTCCCCTAAGTGAAGAGAGATGAGTGAATGCCTGGTGGCTTCTGATGAGGCCTAGAAGCTGATGTTTTCCAGGACATTGGCAGGTTATCTTCATCGCTGGTCAGATGGAAGTGTCTCAGCCCTGGCCTGTTCTTACTCCAAATGACCTCGCTCAGGCTTCCCAGGCTGTTGGGCCAGCACGTGTGGCAGAGCCTCATCCCAATAGCTTTCAGGGTTGCATCTCAGCATGAGCAATCGGCCAGAAGCTGGAGTGAAGTGGTAACATCCATCTGACTCAGTAAGCAGGTAAGAGCAACCAGAAGCTTTCTGAGCCTGTGAAACTCCTAGCATATACAACATCCAGCAAAGAATTTAACAGTTAAACCATGGTGAAAAGCTGTTTGCCCTTGCTCTGAGCCTGCAGCCTGCTGGCATTGCTTAGGGCTGGCTGCTGTGATCCCCCTGTTCCTGCAGCAGGGAGCCAGAGCTGTGTGCAGGACTCAGGATGGGTGCAGCAGAACTCCAGTCCTGACATCTGCCCGGGTGGGACCAGTTGCCACAGAGACCATGTGTAAGAATGGGCTTCTCCTTCCCTTCACAGCACGTTCAAGTTGAGTTTCACCTTCCCTAGTGTCACTCTCACCTGCCACTTGGCTTGTCTCCTCTGCCCAGGTTTTATTTTTCTGCCATCTAATATGCACTGAAGGCAAATGATTTCTCTCCCTTTCAGCCAGCACCCAGGCTCCAAATCATCCTTTCTCTGTTGCGATGCCCTGAGGAGCTGGAGGCTTCCTGAAAGTACTCCAGCTCTCCTTCTGCCCCTCTCGCCACCAGCACTCCCCACCAGTGAGGGCAGTGGTTAGGAGTGGAGTTGATGCTTCTAACCCTAACAGAGATGCTGCAGTGTTAACAATTGCCATTGTTTCAAACTTCTAACCCAGCTTGGTTCAACAAGCACTCTGCTATAATTCTTCATGCAGAGAACAATTTTCAAAGGTACTTGAATCAATATTTAAGCCAAAACCATAAAAAGGGCATCATTTTAGTAGCTGAAGGGTGGATCCTCTCCACATAAAACAACATATTTCAGATAAATGTTCCACCCACCACAGGAGGGAAAAGCATATCCCCAGAGTGTCATGCTTTCAGATTTCATTTTCTTTCTGCAGTTTCAGTGAGCTCACACAGTTCCTCTTTTGCTTCTTCAACAACTGTTCTCAGTAAAAGGACAGAAACATGAATAAAGGAGTAATGATCCGGCTGAACTTACCTTCTCTGGCTTCATAAACATCAACATGGAAACCACGTTGAGCAAAGAAACAGGCGTTTAATGCACCCACCTACAAGAGAAGGATCAGGAATGGTGGATGTGGTGTTTCACTAGTACCTGTATCACAGATCACTACTGAGATGCACCAAGAGAAAGCAGTGGTCAGGGGATGTGGCTCAGCATATACAGGACAACCCTTTGCTCAAGAACTTCAGAGGACTTCTTCTTGGAGACAAGTCCTCTGGCACCCCTGATACACCTGCAGAGCCTCCGAGACAAAAGTCAACCACCAAAACCCATCATACAATGTTATACTAAGTTTAGGGCTTATTTATATGCAGTGGTTAACTGCAGCAGAGCTATCCCCTTCAGCCAGAGAAAAGAGGAGCTGGTTCAGGCAAGCTCCCTGCTCCTCTCTGGACTGTCTTCTGCAACAGAATTCACAGGGCTGCAGCATTCCCGCGGGAACACAGTGGGGGAAGCTAGACCTGTGCAAAAGCAAGACGTCACCTTAAAAAGGCAGCACACATATGTCCTAATTTAAATGGATGACTGACTTTTTTGTTTTAATTTCCATCATTCATTACTGTCAGAACTATAAACTCTTTTCCAGCAGTACAGGGACCAAGAAGCTAGTGGCCAAAAAGTGAAAAGAAAGGTTTAGCTGGTTGCAGTGTTCCATGCTGTCCTTCAGAGTCAGACCACTCTGCAAGTAGCAATGGAGGAAAACAGTTCCCAAACAAAAGTGAGCAGAAGCTATTGCCTTTTAGCCTGGTGTTTACCAAGTCTCAGTCCTCACAAAGCATTTCATTTTAGTGACTTGGTTAAAGCCAGAAGCAGCCGAGGGGCAGGAGGATATGGAAGCCCAAATGAGGACTGTTATTTAGTGTACCTGGGCACCATTACTTCACCTCCCAAATCCCTTCCTCTGAGAAAATGGCTCTTGGTGGCAGGATTTATTTGCACACACCACCAAGGCAAGTGCCAACCACAGGAGGAATTGTTTTCAGAAAAACATTCACCCACACCCAAGGAACACTTTTACAGCCCCGGATCCCTGGCAGACAGAGTCACACAGCAGCCAAATGGTGTTTCTTACCAGACCACCGCCCACAATGGCGACTCTTTTCCCAGATGGGCCTTCAGACTCCATCACTGGGGCAGCCCCTGGGTCGTGGGTCCCTACTGCTGCGTCCCTCCTCCCTGGCCTGCTGCACTGCCCTCGTGAGTGGGGAGGGGAAGGACGCGGGTGGCTGAGTCATGTCTGGGTTCTTCTCCCCTGGTTCATATTAAATTTTAACTCCCAGCCCAGAGACTGTTGGTCAGTCAGCCTGGTCATGTGGCCAGTCACACTGGGCCTTTAGGTGAAGAGATGTGAACGTGGTGTTACTCAGGCATTAGTAAAAGGCCTTTTTTTAAAAAATTGTAAAGGAATTCTGCAGCTGCCTTCAAGAATGTCCTAACGGAACATGCAGAGAGCAGGAGGAGAACTTGCAGCAGTTGAGCTTTTGTTGCTGCACTGGCGGGTTACAACTGCAGAGGCACTGTGGGACAAAATGCAGAGTAACTCCTGGAGCCTCGCGTGTGCTCTCCTGAGGCTGGGATGTGAACTACACTGCTTGCCCGGCCGCCTGATCCCATCTGTGAGGACATCTTTTGCCCAGGGAAGCTGTGTGTGGCTTCGGCATTTTGGGGTGTGACGCAGAGGGTTCATGCCTAATCTGCAGCAGCTTTCCAGGACTTGGATGAGGCTATAAGGAGATATCTCTGCGTGCACCATTTCACATGCCCATCCTTGGGAGATGCTCTCCCCAGCCAATGTTTCCCACAGTAAGCTTTTAAAAGGGAGGAGCCAATTACAGCCTACACACAATAATTAAACACCAGTCAGTGTAAATGCATACATTAATATACACTAACCTCCACGTATTGCTAAACCGGCAATCCACAGCCCAAAGCAGCAAATTTGTCTTGATAGGATAAAGCGGGGAATGTATCTTCTCAGCAGGGCGTGGGGGTAAAACACTATGTGGAGAGATACAATCACCAGTGTTCCTAGGTGACAGCCTGGCCACTTTACATACAAAAAGAACCAAGCAAGAAGAACCTGAGGACTTGAATGAATTTAAACAAACCTAGATTATCTACCTGAAGACATTTACATAGCCTAAACCTCTGAACTTTGGGAACTAGTACACATGCTTAATGAACTTATACATAGTAACTTCTCCTCCCAGAGGAGGCATAAAATGAAGGTAATGAGACATGGGATGTATGATGAGAAGGGGGGTACATGTTGAGGGGGATATGTAGTAGGCGTACCGGGCAGTCTGTACACTCCGAGTACCTCAGCCAATGGGGAAAGGAGGAGGGAAATTTGCGGCCGGGAAAGTAGGATAAGAATGGGGCTGCGTCCCCCAGCCAAACTGAGAGACCCCACCGGGATATGCCTGTGGCCTCTCCCTTTATTCGAATAAAGTATATTTTACAGGACTCCTCTGTCTCCTATGGGAACATCGACCTCTGGCAACGGCATTTTCCGCACAGTCTCAAAAGGAGCAAGACCAAATCCCTGCACGAGCACAGCACTGTTCTCCAGTGCCCATCCTGGTTCCGGTGCGCCAAGGGTCAGCTGCTCCTGAGGCAACGGGGAGAAAGCACCGTGCCACGCCACACCATGGCCCCACCTGGTGGTAACGTTCAAGGAGAGGACATGGGTCAAGAGGACCCACAAGCAGCCCAAGCTTAAATGAGACTGCTGCTTGAGGAGGACAGGGGTCCAAGGTGGGGCTGGCTGTGTTTTTTAAAGGCTATCAGTGCCCATTGGTCCTGGCATTGTGTCTGACTGAGTCGCCACTGAACACCATTCACTGGGTTTCTCTGATCTCCACGGTAGTGAACTGAGCCACATGATCTGACTGGCTCATGCACAGAGCAAAGAAAACAGCAGAGAGGGCAAAGAGTAAGGTATGTTTAACATAGTAAATAAATTATTCATTAATGGTTTTCAGAGTACAGACAACACACCACTAGCTTCCCACAGGGATGGTTATTATTTGGGAATACCATTTACAACACCCTTTGCACACTTGTCCGGTAGGCTTTACAGATTACTCCACCACCCTGGCTTACCCATTTGATAGCAGCACTTTAAGGTATACCAATTACCTCCTGGACTCCTGTGGATAAGACAGCATACAGCCACGTAACCAAAGCTGGGCTCGTGGTGCTGCTTTCTGCACAAGCAGCCTCAGCCGTGGCCCCTGTGCCTGCTCCGGAGGCAGGGGCCACAGGCCAATGAGGCGGGGCCTGCTCGGGAGGCGGGAGCCACAGGCACATGAGGAAGCCCCCGACCCGCTGGTGTGCAGTGCTGTCTGATATGGTAAATGGGCCACGGATTGCAGCTTTCTTCTTCTACGATGATACAGGTCACCTTCTCACCGCCAAACCTACCTCACCAGCTACCAACGACAGCTGTTGGCAAATCAGACTAAGTTTTGCCTATCAATCAGGGACTATTGATGCCTAGTGCAGTATCTTTTCTTCTGTGGAACTGTTAGGGGAAAAAAAAAATTGGTCCCTGGCTTATCTTCATCAGATTCACTCACAAACAGCACCAGGCAAAACCAACACAGGGACATGCTCCACTTTAAAAACAGGTGGTGGGAAGACATAGAGAAAGGGCTACTAGTTCATTGTTTATCTTTCTGTGTTAAACACAAACCAGGCTACCGAGAGCAGGAGAAGGTATCGCTTGATATTGATCCTTCCAAGCAGTCCTAAATAGAAACAAAAAGAACAGCATAGCATGGGCTTGGATTAAATTTTTCTCACTAATTTTCAGAGGGCAAAAGTAAAGAAGGGAAAAGTGTTTGATTTACATTGCTGAAGAACAAGACATGCCAATATCCAAACCTCAGGGTTTTTATTTTGTTATTATTTTTTTTTTAATAAAGTCTAAACCCTGATTCTATGAGGGAAAGACTGAATAGAAAAGTGATAAAATATATATACACCATGCCAGGCTCCTTAAATCACCTTCCAAACCTCTCTTTGAGGAGAAAACCTTGGGTAGCTTTGTAAATGTGAGATTTGGGAGAGACAGAGAGTCAGAGCCCTCCTGGGGCAGCAAGTGTGGGCTACAGCTAGCTGGGTGTGGGCATTGCACTTCAACATTCAAACCCAATGACTGCAGGGGCAGGTTTCTTCCTGCTCCTCTCCACTGAAAGTTTTTTTATCCAAATAGTGTAAAGCCAATTCACACAGGTAGGACAGAGCACTGGTCTTCAGGAAAATCCAGTGCCAGGGTTCTGTCTCCCTATGCAGGTAAATTGCATTTGGATCATTCCTGCTCATCTTCCGTTCCCCAGATAGGTAATTACTGTAGGACAAGTATACATGTGAGGGAGTGGAAACTAAAAACGCTGATGAAGTTTGGTGACCAAGCCCTCATTCAGGCATGCTGTGTTAGTTTGCATCGTGCTCCCCAGAACAGCAGCAGGCCCCTTTTCAGTGGGCACTTCCTCAGTTTACACACGAAGGGGACTCCCAGACTTGGAGCTGGGTCAGACTCATTTGCAAGGCCTCATATAACACTGGTGTTAAGATTATTTCAATCCTAGGGACTGCCAAGCCTGAAAGACACTTTGGGATGGGTTTTCTTGATTCTGTGAAGAGCAGCAAAAAAAAAGTAGTGATAGCTTGTGGGTGTTCTGGACTTGAAAGATGAGAGGAAACAATTGAACTAGCAGAAATGGGTGAGCAGACTACAGGTGCATGGTACATTTGTTTAGAACATCTGCAGTCTTTCTCCCGTTCACTTCTTGTACTAACAACGTGCAGTCTTACTGACACTAGGCTGTCAATCAGACAGATTCAGGAACTGTTCAGCTACAGGCTGGCCTCAGCAATGTTATGGTCCACTTGTAGAGGAACACATTCTGTCAGTATGTGGGCCACCTGCAACAAGAGAAATGGCTTCATTGTATTTGGTAACTGCCAACAGTGTTTGCTTGCTGCATACAATACAATACATACAATACACAACATAGCTTGTTGCTGTGCAGTGTTGGATCTCGTAAGTCATGGTGGAAGGTAGCTCAAGAAAAGAAAAGACAGCTTAAAAGCCATGACAAGATCTTCCTTTGCTGATTTCTGCAAATGGCTAATTGCACAGATTCTGGAAGGAGCCAAGAGATCTTTACAGATCTGTGCAGATTACAAACCCATATAAAAGTGAAAAGGGTAGAAATGTTTATCCCTTATAATCTCTTTAGACATACAGTCTGTTCAGGAATACATATCCCACACTAGAGTGCCATACTCCATGCCAGCAGGTCACCCATGGCTGAGGATGTGGCTGCTTCCATTCTGCCCTTTTGTTCACTAAAGCTTTGAAAGAGCCACTGCACAGAAATAAAAGCTCTGTTCTCACCAATGCAAGAAAATCTCCACACCAAAGTCCCCAGACACCCCACACACACTCTAGAAATGTGGATTTTTTACCAGCCCCAGCACATAAGAATTTTCAAGTGCTGCTGCTTCCATGCCTGCTTTCTTGCTGTCCCCTCCTGATGCGCACAGCAAGACTGCTGTTCTTTCTTGGCTCAGATCCCTTCTCACGGCCTCTCCTACCATCAGCATTTGCATGAGCAGACTAGTTTGAAAACAAGACCTGTGTGTGACCTTCTCACACCTAGAAAGTTGACCAGGACAAGCTCAGCCATAGCAGGGAAAGTAGAGGCAAGTGAGCCCCTGCAGGAGCCAGCTGGTGACCTCTGCTAAGGGCCTGACGGCCTAGTACCTGGGGGCAGCCTGGGGATGAGACCATCCATTTCAGCACTTGAAAAAAACACCCCAGCTGCAAGCACAGGCCTATTGTAAAGGCTCAGCTTTTTTTATGACTGCTCCCCTCCCTTCATACCATTTCGCCTCACAAGTGGTGGTGAGCTTTTTTCCCCAGGAATTTCTGATTAACAGTGTTTTAAGAAAATAAATCTTGCAGGGAACCTTAGCCTGGATGTGAAACACATGCAGTCTTTATTTAGCAGGTGTCTGCTCGGTTCACAAGGAGACCCCAGACACAAGGTAACAGCCACTGTAGAGCCATAAAGCACCACTGGGTGGTGGCTCTGTGTGGCAGGATCATCTGGAGATCATGTCCGATACATTTATTCCACACTAAGCAAGTGTCAATTACTCAAGTTATTAAAAGATTGAGTGTATCAAATCATTACTTAACCCATCTCAAACCCACTGAGGCATTAAAAACGATATTCAGGACTGGCCTTAGTGAAGAACTGTGAAGGCATGGAATTGTCAGATCTACCTTGCTACGCTACCTGTGGAGGAAGGAAGGGCCAGAAGTTTACACTGTGGCTGCCTGTTTACTTACGTAGGCAAGGCAGGGAGCACGCCCCCGGTCCAGCGGTGCACCATGGATGTGGATGGAAAGTCCCCATGGGGCACGGGGATCACTCCTGTGGGAGGGTAGTGGTGGTGGTGGTGCACCGCAGATGGCCTGGGCCTGTCTGCTTTCACAGCCAGGGGAGCAACACACTGCAGGTCCTTGTTGGAGAGAGACAAAGGGTGATCTGTGAAATCCGTACCCTCGTGGGAAGGGTCCTGGGCTGAGGGGCTGGGTTCCCCGTTTGCCATCCCTTGGTAAAGGAAGTCCTCGAGCATGTATCTGGAGATGGGGTTTGCAGGCTTCAACAGAGAAGGTCCAGCAAACACTTGGTGATTTCAGATTTCCCCTGATATTCAGAGGCACTCAGACCCCATTCTCCCAATTTATTCCACCTGTCTACTTCAGGGAAATGCTCAGACAGGATGGCCTAAGGAGGAAGGTGGAGACCGAGGAGATGCAAACTCATCCTCTGCCATCTGCCATCCCTGCTTGTACACAGAGTCCTCAGTAGAAAGCTGCAGGAGAGTCCACTGGCTCTCCAAGCATCACTGTCTGCCCCTCACATTTGCCCCAGGGCATGAGGAAAAGAGTATTCAAAACCAGGAACGCAAAGTTTAAAGAAAACAGAAAAGGGCTTCCATCCGAAGCAAGTCTCGGAGCAGCTCTGACCTGAGGAAGAGTCAGCACTGCCTGCCATTTCCACAGCAAGCCCACCCTGGGACCACGGATGGCCAAGCCAGCGGGCCCCTCTGCACCACGGGTGGTGTCCTGGGAGATGAATGCCCTGAAACACGAGAGCAAGCAGCTGCTCTTGGAGCCTTTCTGACCTGCAGACATTTGGTCCCAACAGGTGCACAAACCCATCAGCTCCCCGCAGGCCACAGGATGGCGTATGGCAGAGGATTCCATTTCCTACCCCTCTGTTAAACCCAGGGCTTGGGGCCTTTTAAACTGTCTTCTGCTTTTGCAAATAGCATGTAAGAAAGGCGAGAGTGAGCTGGGCAAGGACAGCAGAAGTGTGGGAGTTACTTTCTCAGCACCCGACAACCTTAGCATCTGAGAAAAAGAAACCAAATCTTTCTTACAGCACAAGAAAAAATAGTTAGCCTGAATATGGAGTAGTAGGAAAAGTACAGGGGAAGTTTTTGCAATGCTGATACACTGCCTCCTCCCTGAAGATGAACTGTCCTTGCTTCTAAAGAAATAAATGCTACAAAGTAGAGACTAGAAATACATTTTTCCAAAGCACTCAAGGACACTAAGGAACTGTATCACCATGTTAAAAATAGCTTAGGAACTCGGCATCTAAGGTTATGTTCAAAATTACCTACCTCTTATCAGGCACTGGACACATTTTGGAAAAATCCCTGTAGGAATCTATACATCAAAATATATTTAAGATCTGTCCTTTTAGAGTTCAGTAGCCATTGGTTTTCAGTGAGACAGGAACTAGAGCAGTGGAACTCCCAAAACACTCACAAAATCTGTGCTTCAGCTCTAGTCCATTTGAAACTGCCAGGTCAAATTTTACCAAGCACAAATATTGCCCTGCTGTTTGCAGCAAGTGGACCTGCAGCAGCAGACACCCAGCATAGATGTCTTCCATGCATACTCTGTTTAACAGCACAGGACAGATAATTTTCAGAGCTGGACTGAATCCAGTTTGCACTTGTGGAGTAGACATTCTCCCATCAGGTCCTTTCACAGCACTCATCATGCTAAAGAGGCAGGCTGTGCTGTGCTCAGTAGAGGTCTTCTGGTGCAGTGGGTTTCAAGATGTGCACAGCTGTTAAACATTCCAGACCTTCTGCATGTTTTGTCCAGGCCCTGCACCCTCTCCAGATCAACCATTGCCTCGTGTGAGCACAAGTGCCCTTCAGACTTCAGTGTCATTACCTGCTGTGGATGCTGAAGCAGAGGAGAGCTGGCTCCAGCAGGCTGTGCAAACGCCATCGGAGGCAGAGCCTTCAGCATCATGTTCTGCATGATGATCTGGTGCATCTGAGCATTCTGCATCAGCATCATCTCTACCATATCTGGGAAGAGGTCACCACAAGGAAGAAAGTAAGAGCTTTATCAGCAACTGACAAGAAGCAGAGGAATCTTGGGAAGAAGTGCCCATGAGCGTATAGACTGCAGCCAAGACAAAGCAGCTGAAAGGGACATGTGAAGGATATCAGCATTATTTGCCCAGGCAGTGTGAAATCAATGTCTATGAGTAAGACTGCTCACACCAGCTTCCCTGTTTCTCCTCCCTTCAACATGAAAACTGCTGTTGAGCATTTTCTGTCTGTTAGTTCTCCTGCAAGCCCACCTCTCTGTCTGTGCTGACAGGCAAGCTGGAGAAGGGCTGAGCACTAGAGCTCCCTCACTCGCTCCAGCAGGGACTGGCTCTTTACAGTGCTCTCCCCCGCTTCCGCTCACGATGACTGCTTTCCATGAGGGAGGTTTCCTCAACTTTATGTGATAGTGCAGTGCCACCTTGAGAGCCCACTGCATGCACATCAAATCTGCTTACCACGATCTCTGGGTCCTAATTACAAAGGACCTGTGCAGTGGAATGAATTTGCTTGGAAGGAGGGAGGTGGGGAAAAATAGATGAAAGAAAAAAAACAAACAAACAAAAAAACAAACCCAACTTTCCTATTTTTTTAAACTAGTCATACCAAAAGTAGTTTACATACATCCGTCTCAGAAAAGTTATGAATTAACTTGGACTGTTTATGAAACTAAACTCTGATTCAAAAATCCATACACTTAGATTAAGAAAGAGCTGATAAATGTTGCAGTTTCATGACTGAGGATTCCTCTGTGGGATGAAGAATTCTTTGGCTGGAGGTTGAGCCAGGGAAGCCAATACATGCACAAAAACCTGGAATATTTCACAGTAGCATCCACCTATGTTTAGAAGCAAACTCTATAGTGCATGACATCTATATGGGGATGCACTATATTTAGAACAGCACTTTTGGCTTTTCTGTCTTGCTTCCAAACATGGGGCATAATAAAAACCTGTGTTTGTTCTGAGGAGACTGAACAGCAGGTTAAGAAGGAGCAAAAGAATAAACACAGATTTGAGATGCCTGCTTGTTAATTTTGGGATCATGAGTGTGCATGAGTCTGACCTTGTTAATATTACTCGGTGCCTTGCATTGAGCTGGTTTGCTTCCCTAAACTTCCCTGGTAGCTTAGGCTGGCTTCGCTGTGTTCGTAGTCCCTTTTTCTCTAGTTTTAGCAATAACAGTTTTCTGAAAGCCTCTCAGAAATAGTATCTAGTCCACAATCCCCACAGGTCTAGCAGCAGCCCAGTTGTGACACAGGACATCACTAACTAGCTTGGATGCCATCCCTTGCCCCTTTCCACTTGCTGTGGCACCTTGCCTGCCCTCTGAGCCTGGTGATGGGAGCTGGCTGTTAAATGGAGGGTACGTGACCTTCTTTAATGCTTCCAGAGCGGGAGGCTACAAAAGGCTGGGCAGGGGGGATCTGCGTGATCAGGGGAGGTGGCTGAGGTAACTGCTGGATGATGGTGGCAGGCTGAGGTGGCATCTGAAAAAGAGGGGAAAATGGTGAAGTCAGGTTGGTTTTGGACAGCTCCATCATCTTTGGGAGTGCAGACCAGCTGGTGTTGTCTGGTTGGGCTTCAGCAAGGCTTTGGACTGTTTCCCATTACATCCTCAAGGAGAAGCTGTTGAGATTGTGGGCTGCACGAGCAGACAGGGATGTGCATTGGAAACTGCCTGAACAGCCAGGCCAGAGCATTGGCAGTCCTCCCACTCCTCTTGCTACCTCATTGCTGTGGCAAGTCATTCACGCTATGAATTTTGTGCCCTATTTCTGTGACAATTTCCTTTAGATTTTGCCTAAGGCAGTAAGGATCCCATACAACAGCACAAGACCTATCTTCCCTTTCAGTGGGATGAGAGTTTCCATACAGCTCTTAAGCAGTTGTTATCTCAGACTGGCACAGCACAAGTGATGTTCCCAAAAAGAGAGATACTTAATGCCTGCTGGATAATCCTTGGTGATTCTGCTTGGGGAACTGGGAAGGGTATCTGGTAGACATGGGGGGAGGCAGCTCTGTGGTTAGGATAGCGACCTCCAGCTGGTGCAGGGGGCTGTGAAAGCTCTTCCAGAAGATGCTGCTCCTGCAAAATCAAATTACTTTCTTTAAGAAAACTTTGTCACAGAAAGGCAGACAGTACTGTTACACTCTCTGGATTAAATGGGATTAGCCCCTAGGAGCTTGCAGCAGGTTGCAGCCCAACTCACCAAAACACTGCTGCAAAAACATCTAGCACTGACATGCAGACCACAGGCAACTGCTGTGTGAAGGGAAGCACTCAGCCAGTGCCCACACAAGTATAAAGACAGTTTTTCTGTATGGAAAAAATAGTGAAAAACAAACTGCCAAAAGTCTGGTAAAGTGTTTCACTGTTGGTACACTCTATGAACTAGGAATAAGTAACAGTTACTATTGTCCCTATTTCAGCAGCATTAAAAACCCCCTCTTTGCATTTGGCAATACCCCAGAGAATTTACGATACAGCAGTTCAGGACACCAACCCACAGACTAACTGAAGCCAGTGGGAGCTTTGTTAGCTGTGGTGAGGGAAGACACACTGCTGTGCAGCCCCTTTCCCTGATCAGCTGGCCCAGTCTCTATACTGTGAACCAACAGAGGATTGTCCTGAATTCTGCCCTGTCCAAGAGGTAAAGGACAGGAAAAAAATGAATCCACATTGTCAGTGGACGTGCAGTTAACCAAGCCCTTTCTGTTGTTTCTATCCAGAGAGAGGGCTCTTACCCTAAGCTCCTGCAGGAGATCTTTCCTTCGATTTAGGGCACTTTGGAGCATATCCTCATGTCTGTTTCCTGAAGGAGGAAATGTCTATTATCTTCTCAAAGGATCACAAAGAACTATTATAGTACCTACATTGTGAGATAAATTTTGGACAGCTTGACTTCTTCCACAAAAGATTTTAGGCTACTTTTCTTGTCAAATCCACCAACGGACAATGACTCTATGCCACAGGCAGACACAGCCACTCAGCAGCTCTGCAAGTGCAACTCACCTTTTCTGAAAAGAAACTTTTCCAATTACTCTCTAAAGCCCTTTTTAACAACCTGGTTTAAGAACTCATTTCAGCTTGGATTTTTCTATATATATATTCTGTACACACAGAGCATGATTGTGCAAAGTGTAAAAGTTGGTTGCAATGTATCAAAACAAACTCCGTTTTGAATGTCAGCTTTCATGTTCCTTTTATTTTTTTTGTTCCCAGCCAACCTCCTTTTCAGTTCTTCCCACATACAGTTGATTTTTTAACTCAGTTAAAATGAAAATAAAAAGGAACATTTTCGGATACTTTGGAGGCATGCCTGGCATCTGCTCTGAAAAATATCACTTTGTATTTTGAAACCATAAGTTGTTAAGGGGACTTTTAATTTTTGGCCACAGCATTGTAAGTTTCCAACTATTTGTGCATCACCTCAATAAATATAAGCCTGGAGTACAATTTAGAATTATTACTGATCTTCTGGTAGCCTTTAATCCATAGGTAACAATTATAAACCCTGCATATGCCATTCAAAGGAACGAATGCACTGCACACAGCACATATAGCTTCCATGGGAGTGTTGTTTGAAGGGAACATGCTATTTGTACATGAAATATCACAGCAGACTTCAATAAAGACAGAAGCTATATTAATCTCCCTTATTTATCAACTTTTAGCTGATTCACTAGCTTGTATGAAGAATTGTCTAAACTTGGGAACTTTCACAAGCATGGGATTCCTGACCCCTCTGCCCAAACCCAAGTCAGGATGTGAACATATATGCATGGTTTCCTGATAAAATGGTTCCCAGCTCTTACCAACACTCAGTACTAATTCACTATTCAGTATAACAATCTGTTTCATAAGCCAAGTCACATTTTTTCACACTGGAAACCACGTTCTGGTCTGCACAAGGCTGTCTTGGTCAGCTTTGAAGGTGCAAAGCAGCATTAGTAGTGGAGCTTTCCTCTTTCCTGGACCCCTCAGAGACACCCAGCTGTCCTAACATCTCCTTTTCAGGATCACCAAAGCCAGCCATACAGCTGGACTGCAACAGGAGCTCACTCCTAGGTATAGGAACTAGGACAAATTGGATCACCAGCTGAAACAGCATCTGCAATTGAGAGGCTGCAGAGGACACCAGGGCAGGAATTCATTCTTATGTCAGTGCTCAGCTGGTTGATCACTTCCCTTTGTCAAAAAAAAGGAAAAAGTTCAAGAAATTCAAAAGATAAAGAGATAAAGTGTAGATAGCTGCACAGTATGGCAAGTCTATTCTCCATGCATCAAGGCTGCTAAGATTCACCAGCTTGGTTAGGACTGAGATTAGTATGCAGTCTGTCTTTATTGCATAAGCTTCACTGGAACTTGTATTTTTGCTGCTGGTGTGACCTACTGAGAAACTCGTGCCTGCCAACATCAGTAAGCCCTTTCCACATTATGCCCAAAATCAGAACAAATGCTTCTCTTTTACTTGCAGCTGGGAGAGGTGACTTCATCTTCTCTAGGTTCTCCTGTTCGTTTTCTAGTCTCTGTCGGTAGAATCACAACAAGAACCGATTGTAAGTCAGGCAGCAAAGCTCACAACAATTTTCAACCCTAACTTACAGGCATAGATTTGGGATGGAGGAAACAAAGCAGAAGTGGAGGCAAGTGGTACTTTTTAACAGCTAAATCACAGTTAATAAAATATTCATAGAAGTGTGAAATGCCTCCGTACAAATCTAGTCACGGAAAAAGAACAGTTTCCAACTGGCCAGGCTGTCCCAGACCTGGAAATTGATAGCATAGTGAATCAGGAGACCTATTTGTCCTATCATTTATTTTGTAAGGCAGAGAGCTGGATCATATGAAGAATTCCACGCCAGACAGTTTTGAGTATTTGGTGCACAAATAGGCCTAAATGGCCCTGACCAGCCTTACCAGGGGCTTCCATACACACCTGCCACTCATGTGCCCAGAAACCTCTTTACTCTCAGCTCTAGGTCTTCAGTGCTTACCTGAGCTGCATTGGATGAGTAGTTGGTCTGCAGTTCAACCACAGCTGTGCCTGTGACTGGCCATGGATTCTACTAACCCTGATCCCAACCTGCGGGCACTTCCCAGGTTGTCCTTGGACTTGCCTTATCACCATGAGCTTGCCTGGTAGATCTGGACTTTTAGTTGAACCTGACCACCATTATTTCCTGCTTTCCTTGCTTGGGTTTGGACAACCAGGCCCCTACCCTGCTGCCTATGCTATTGTGCTCAAATAATATTGCACACTGATGATCATAAATTCAAGACCTTTTGGTCATGCATAGGCTCTTTTCTTGGTTCTGCGTGGCTCCACACAGGTGAAAGCCTTGCCTTCAAATAGCTGCTGCACCTAAGACAAAAGACTCCGCTGCAGAGACAGGTTAGATGCCACTTTCAGCATTCACATCTCCAGGCAAGCCACTTCTCCTTCCAGACAACTCTTTAAGTAGCTTCGGGAGGACACTGAAGCAGAAGATTCATGCTAGCAGATGTCATAAGATATCAAAAAAAGAAAAAAAAAAACAAAAACAAAAACAAAAACCAAAAATCTGAAATTGCCTTAAAACAATCTGAAGTCATCTTTACTCAAAATTTACTCCTAAACATTGCCTGTGACAACCCAAACTGGTTTAGACCTAGCTGGTAACATCTCCCATAAGATCAAAGTCACATCAACGCTATTCTTAATTTACTGTAGGTCCATATAAACTTATACAATATTATTTAAGAAAGTGACAATGACTGTAGCACCACTGTACATTGGTTTGCCCCTGCTGCAGATCCTCTTCGTATCTCAGTAGAAGTACAATGTTAAAGCTTAAACGTTCAAGAGCAAAAAGCAGAGCAAAGATTACCACTGCAGAGTTATTCCCTTACCTTTTCTAGGAGTTTGAGTTTCAGTCGCATCAGGTCATCCACTACTGAAGGATCTGTCATTATAGTAGTCTCCTGGAAGAGTAGGCAGGCAAAAACAGGTTAAAAAGCTAAGCAAAGGCAGACAGGTTTTCAGTATCCATTTTTTTCCCCCCCTCTGTGTTTTTCACAGAAGAATAATTCCATTAGGGAAAAAAAAAAACAAACCAAACAAACAAGATTGTGAGCTATTGAGGGAAGAAGATAAAAGCTCCAGATTCACTCCCAAATAAAAATAAGTACAGATGTTCACCACAGTGTCAGAGACACAGCTTTTACTGCCATTCCTCTCAATGTATTTTTGGGCTGGAGGTTGCGGTGGTCACAGAAGGGTGAAAACTTGTCTGTTCTTAATTGTTGCTAGCCTTTCCCCAGCAGTGTCACTAAGCCTGTGTTGTTAGTGTCTTCTAAGCAGCTCAGAGTTTTGTGACTGGAACATGGTTGCTAAGTTTGTAGTGTCAATCCACAACATAAACAATTTAGTCTCCAGGTGGAGAAGCTTATGTGCCTTTTGTAACGTACATAGGGAAAGGAAAAAAGAAATAACAGTCAGTGGTTCTTTAACACAATCCCAGTGCTAGGAGTCAGATTTTGATTTTGCTCATTCATAACCAATAGCAACGTTGATCCCATTGTAAGGAGCCTGTACACTTTTGATAAAGTCCTTCATATGAGTTTTCACCACCAGATAGTAACTAAAACCTCAAAAAATTAAGTGACATAGCTTAAACTCATCCCCAGAACAGTAAAAGATAAAGAGGCAACAATATAATGTCCTTCTGCTTACCATCTCCCAAGCAACCTGTAGGGTGTCTCTGTCTCCCAGCAAAGCCCTACCAGCATGAAAAACAAGGCAACACTTCTCAGTGGCATCTATAAAATGAACACAGCATGAGAAAGAAAACAGGTAACAGATATACACTCAGCATCACATTTTAAGCCTGGTTCTGCTCCTTGGAAAGTGAAATCACAACCCCTTCCTCACTTGAAGGCCATGTTAAAACTGCAGCTGAGCCACTGCTGGCAGCTGGAGCAGCTGATAGGTGCTTGTAGGGAGCTGTGTGGTAGCAGAACAGACCATCTCTTCCAGCTGAGGCCCACGCGGCATGTGTGTGCAATCTGTCTTTAAAAACACACAGGCTGGTAGTCACTAGGGAGGTTATAGAAACTGAGACGTGGGCACGCCAAAAATAGCTGTGCTGTGTCAGAGCCTAGGCTCAGCTTTCTTTGGCAGCATTCATTTGTGAATGCTACAAGTGACAGGGCAGAACAAAAAATCTTCTCACCTGCCAGCAGTTTTCCTGAGCAACAGCTCTGTGTATATTTTTCTACATTAAAAACCCAATAGATTTTTTTCTCCTTTATCTTTAACATCTTTGATCCCTTCATCCCTTGGGCAGCTGCAAACCACTTTTGACAAGGAGTTTCCTAGTTGTCTTAAGCATAAGCCGGGTTATGCAAGTAAACTGCATAAATATAGATTATTTAACTGTGAGGCAAAAAAAGGGTTACATTTAGACTATTTTAAATCTAGATTCCTAGAAAGTTTATTGGAAATCTTCTCATTTATTATGGTAAATTTATATGACTGTTCTCCACGTACTTTTTTTGGAACTTAGAATCATAGAAACATAGAATCATTTAGTTATCATATTCCCATTCAGGTATCAATTTCTAAGCACGAGAATATAATTTGTCCTCAAATGGCAGATTTTCCTTACTCATTGATCTCATAACTTGGCTAGGAAGGTATAATGCAAGAACCCACATGAACTGCTGCCATATCCACCTCTCAGCCTCAGCTATCAGCCACTCTTAGAAGGTGCTGCATCAGCCTCTCTTAGAAGGTGCTGCATCAGCCTCATCTTTGATCACACCGTGGCTGTATGTCTGTTTGTACAGTCTCATGTTTATCCTAGTTGCTTCTCTCTGTATGCTTCTAGTTCATAAACCCTTCTGTGATAGGGTGACCAGGGAGGTGGACAGGGCACGTGGGCAGTGACGTAGCAAAGCAAGCTGTGCTGGCGTCTCCAGACAACCACAACAGCAGCAGGTTGACTGAGTCATTGCTGGTGCTGGAGCAGGCTTTCAGACTGCTGATGTTTTATACCATCAGCTGGTTTGAAAAAGTGCCCTCTAGAAGTTCAATTTCTAGAGCTTTCATCGCAATATGAATAGCTACAAGAAAGGCTGACAAAAAGAACTGAGTGTAAGTATTCAGTTAAAAACCACAGCACTACTGTTAGGCAACTGAGTTGACTATAGAGGAAAGGAAGAGACAGAAATTCTGCTGGAGGTGACAGGTATCCCAGAGAAAATCCAATACTAGGTTAAAAAAATGCTTTCCAGTAAATCTGCTGAGAGACTTTTCTTTTCCAAGAGTTATGGATGCCTTGATCACAGTGGGATCCCTACTCTAGGAACATCTCACAATCTGCTGATTAATGACTTGCCAAAAACATGCCAGGTGGACACAAGAGAGTCCTTCCAAAGGAGTTCTGTAGTTACACTGAATCACAGACTAGGGATCACACATGAATATGGTGATGCAAAAGAGAAAACCAGACAAATTTAATTCTGCAAAGGATTAACAGGACTGTTATGTGCACCTCACAGGAGATAAATTATTCTGCTCTATTTCTGCTATTCTGCTATAATTTCTCTATTATTTTGCTCTAGTGCTGATGTCAAAGTTTGAATATTGTGCCTAATTTTAGACCTGGTGGTTTAAGAGGGAAAGAAAGTCCAGGAAAAAAAAAAAAACAAAGGTACATTTACAAAATTTAAGTTTTGAGGAAGACTTAAAAGAACTGGCTTTCTTTAGTTAAGAAATAAATGGTGAGAAGAGGACAAGCTAGCAACCTTTAAATAAATGAAATTATACAATCAAGAGCAGGGTAGGGTTTTTCCATCTGAAAAGACTGGGCAAGAAGCATTTGACTTGGTGAGTGAGAGGAAAACATGATAAAAAAAAATCTTAAATATACAGTAAGATAAATGATGGAGCAGCTATCTAAGAAAAAAGTTCTACTGAAGCTGTTTAAAAGCAATACAGAAAAACAACTGTGATGAACTTCGTAGAACTGTTGCACCTCTCCTCAGATACAAGACTGGATCAGATAACCTGGTGAGGTCCATATCAGTACTACATTTCTACAATGTCTTTTAATAATTTTGATTCTTTATACCCTTAATTTTCATTACTATGGTTTTTAAAGCTTAACATAAAAAGAAGCAAATTGGCACCATGAAAATATCAGAGATTATAACCTTTCAGACTCTGGTTCCAGAGGGAGGAGTCTTTATCACTGCAGTCTTAGACGAGTGTTTTAAAAAAAGAATTAAAAGCATAAAAAAAGAACCACACACAAATCACTAATGGAGAAGTACATATAATTTTCTTCCAATCAATTATTTGCTTCTGCCAATTGTAGTGTTACAAATTAACACTTGAGAGCTCTCTTTAGGCTGCGTGGCGGTTACAAGTATGGTAAAAATCTCCTATCTGTATGTGAAACTAAACATATGAATAAAACATTTTAATTAGCATTATTTCATGCCACTGTCCTATAACAATGTACAATGTTGAGTTTTACTCTTAGTTCTGAAAACAGTGATCCTAGTTTGAACCAAATTATATACTATACTTATTGTCTTATGTGACAGGGGCAAACCACTACTCTCTTCAAATGCCGCTCATTTATTTGCAGATGCATTGCAACAGCACCCACAGTTTGCAGTAAGGTTTCGTTGCCAGCCTGATCTTAGTGCAGGGAGGATATGCCCCAGCAGAAACAGAGATGGTGGCTCCATCACCCTGTCTGGGTGGCTTCAGCTCCCCCACTGCAAAGCTGCACCAGCAGTACAGAACCTGAGTCCAGCTGCTGCCAGGACAGTTTGGGTAGTACCTAAATGGTGTTGCTGGTGCTGATTGTGAGCTAGCTGGCGTGCCACTGAAGAGATGTCCCTTTTCAAATATCTCCACTTGTGTGAAAATATAATCCACAAGTTTGTTATTTAAAAAAAAAAAAAGGAAGAAAATAATTACCAATAAATAAAAATCTATTATACACAAGCAAACACGACTTATTTAACATGTTTTGGTGGAGTAAGAAGTCAAAGTAGTAATTTATGGGAAACCATTTTTTTTTAAAGTGATGTGTCTAACAAAATTGCCATTGTAAATGTCACGGTATATTATCTTTTTTATTTGAAGAAATTTCTTTGTTCTGAGCTTACCAGTTTCCTTTTGCTTCTCAGGTGGTGCCAATTACACAAGCTTTTCCATGAAGAAATTTCCTAATTTGGACTTTACTTCTTAGCATCGAGTAGGGACAAACTCAGAATCCTGGCTATGGTGTCAGAGGATGTAGCAGTACTAGCACACAAAACAAATAAACAAAAAAACCCTCAAGGGCTGACAAAGCAGGAGGTGACCAGAGTTAGCCTCAGGAATCTCTCTTCACTGTCATGAGGACATGCATGTCCTCACATGCAAGGTCCATCCTGGCATGGTTTGCTCACAGTCCATTCTCACCATTATGTCATTGCATGGTTTGCTTGCTGTCCATTCTTCCTTAGAAGAGCAAAACTGACTTTGAAGAAAAGGAAAGCCAACCAGCACCATTCTTCTGCAACCTCTGCAGGTTTTAAAACCGTATCTCTGGACACATGTAGAGAAAGTCTTCTCAACCCTGCCTTGCCCCTAGCACACTCAGCTGTCTCTATGGAGCATCGAGCACACACTTCTCCAGACTTTCTGATGTCTACACTGAAAATTTACAGAGATCATTGAATCGTAGAATCATTAAGGTTGGAAAAGACCTCTAATGTCATCAGGTCCAACCATTAACCCAACACTACCATGACCACTCAACCATGTCCCCAAGTGCCACATCCACACCTTCTTTGAACCCCCCCAGGGATAGAGGGTGCCCCCCCCCCCTCCCTGGGCAGCCTGTTCCAATGCCTCACCACTCCATCAGGAAAGAAATTCTTCCTGATAGCCAATAAAAACCTCCCCT